CCTAGATCATCATGATTTGAAAAATCTAAAAAATGCCTTAAAAAAAGGCCTAAAGCGTGTCAATCCTCATGATCTTAAAAATCTTCACTAGCTCCGAGCAAACTGTTTTGTAAGAGATGGTCAACTCCTAGTGCATCAATCTCATCATGCAAAGGAGTTAAGATTCATTGTTTTCTTAGCACCAATTAATTTGTTCGTCTCATTCACATTGACTAATTATGAGAACAAACTCTCGCTCGTCCACTGGCCATCTAGTATATGGTAAATCGATTCATTCTTTGTTTCTTCTATTAATTGTGCTTCCACCCATCCTAAATCTTTTAGTATTGCGTATTTTAGTATTTTTTGATCCAAGCTCCATAAATCTTATCATTTCGAATTCTCCATAAAAACCAGAGAATCCGTTTGAACATATAAATTTTCTCTTCGAACAATATCTCCAAGCATGTAACCTAAATCCATATAAACTAATGCTGAAGAAAAAGTCTTTGGGGTTGTCAATATGTTTAACGTTTATGTCGTAATGTTGGAGAACACTCAACCAAAAATAATTAATAGTTTGTTCTCCACATCTTACACAATGGTTCTCAATAAATAGTTAGACTACCGACTTAATTTAAGCATCTTTGCTCTTTTTGTGACAAACCATTGAGCTTAGCATGTTATTTCTCGGTACAAAATAATTTACTTTCCAATCCTCCAAGGCTTTATGGTAAACAAATATAGGATCTGATTTCTCCTTTGCTATGAATGCCTAAGGCATTAACGCTATCAGTTCTACTTCAGGCATTAACGCTATCAGTTCTACTTCCAAGATATGATATCCAAATGTTCGCTGATTTTCAAAATTTAGCTGTTGTCCTGAGATAAACTATATTGTCGTATAATTTACAAGAAATTATATATTTGGCATTATCAGCCTGCAAAAAGATCAACGATCATCTGTAAATACAAGATACGAGGTCGAGCAACTTTAATCTCCGTCAACCGTTTATCTAATTCTGCTTTTGGCAACAAGCAAATAATAATCTCCTTAACGGAGTCATCTTTTCGGACGGATAGGTCACCGTACTTTTACCCCATATAGTCCATGAAATTATTAAAGAAATCAAACTCTGTGAAAATATTTCTTTCTCGTTTTTCTCAATCGGAAGTGAACAACCAAATACAAGTATATACAATTATCCTAAAC